CAGAACCTGGAAGAATGCACAGACTGCCCTGTCCCCTGCTCCAGGCGACGCATCTGTGACAACGTAGAGGCCAGAGGAGTGGGCACCTGTCCGGAGGGTCCCAGGCCACAAAGAGAAGCTTCTGATATTCTGGCTGTGTTTTCAGTGTTTTGCATTAGCCGTGAACTTGTGGGCTACTGCAGGGATCATTTCTCATAGGGTGGTGGCTCGTTGGGTCTTTGTGATCCTGAGGCAGCTCTGGGTTTTCTGTATCTTCACCCGAGACAGATGAGACACTGATACCATGTGCTCGTATCCTTCATAGAGATTCGTGGTCGGTGATCTTTGCAACACCACCTGGGTTTGCTTGTAACATGCACAGAAGAGGCTCCACGGTTCCGTTATAAAAGAAAATCTTGAGTAAAACATTGTCATTAGGAGAGTAATCTAACCAAAATTCCAAAAATGGTGGAAAAGAAAATAAAATTAGTCTGGATACTGGCATAGGCTGGACATCTGGGCATCACCAGTGATTCTGGTCTAACACCAACCCCTTGCCCGTGCCCCTCATTGCCTGCCTTTCTCTGCATTAGCACATTCCTGGAATGTGGGACTGGATGCTCAGTGCTTAAACACTCAGCTATTTCATTCTGGGAGGTGTGGGCCCTCCTCTGCCCTGTGCACTGACGCCAGAGCAGAGGGGGCAGGTGCGCTTGCAGCATGGGATGGAAATGTGGTCCCGAGACTGAATCAATCAATCTGTTAGCGTCTGCATTTACAATGAACGTTGTTACCATAGAAACCCAGTGGAAAGATGACCATGAGCCTGGACGACACCAGGCAAACGAATGTGTTTCCCCCTTACTGCTTGCCGTGATCCTGCTAAACTAGGCTGGTTTCTTTCCCGGGGTGGTGGGAGCTGTAACAAAACTCATTCATCGTCCTGTCCCCATGTGTCAGACTGACAAGGACCCTTGTGTGTGTCAAGAGCAACCAGCCGCCCAACAGCACCCACAGCTGCAGTCCCACCACACCTGCCTGCCTGTAACAGGTGCTCTGTTTTAAGACCCCAAACCCCGAACCTGGATTTACAGGGGGGCCAGCTGCTTAATTTGAGGTTGGCCATTTTTCCTTTGTGGAGTGGTGTCCCTCTGGAGAGATTGGGGCATTTGAAACCAGAGAACACTGTCAGTATTTGCCTTTTGCTGTGGGCCCCAAGTGCTGAACAGAAGGATAAGCAAAGGATTTAGGCCACTTGCCTCAGCTTTGGGACCGAAATGTCAAACCATCCAGGCCTGAGGGTGAGCTTCTGGCATTTCAGGAATGCAGGAGCTAACAATCTAAGCACTGAAATCGTTGACCAGCAAAGCATATTGAGCCCGGTTGGCAGACTGTGGAGAGCACATGGTGGCGAGTAGAGGGTTGCTTTTTCTGCTCAACTTTGCATAACATGATGCATTAGCTTAAAAATATCAGCCGTGAACATTCCCCTACACATGTACCTCCCAAGAAAAATACTGTGGGCAGTTTCTATTCTGGGAGAAACTTTGATAAACAACCACCTCCTTCGGGTGCTTCTCATCATGATATTTAAGTCAAGGGGGAATGTTTTCACAGCAGAAAGATAGCATTCTGCTAATATTTCTACCTATTCAAAGCCCAGATTCTCCCACAAGATGTTGGAGGTGGTGAGCCAGGCTCACTGTGCTTGCTCACAGGGTTCTTGACAAAGTGTGATTCACGCCACTCAGAATACAGTCAACCCTTGAACAATGTGAGTTCAAACTATTTGGACCCACTTATACACAAATTCTCTTTGCTAAATACAAGACAGCCCTGTAAATGTGTTTTTTTCTTCCTTATGATTTTCTTAACATTTTCTTTTTTTTCTAGTCACTTTATTGGAAGGATACAGTATGTAATACATAAAAGATACAAAACAGCTGTTAATTGACTATTTATGTTATTGGTAAGGCATTTGGTCACTGATAGGCTATGAGTAGTGAAGTTTTAGGGGAATCAAAAGGTACATGCAGGTCAAAGCAATCTGGAGAACAACAAAGCTGGAAGTATCACAAACCTAAGCTTCAAGATATACTACAAAGTTACCATAATCTAAAAACAGTATGCTACTGGCACAAAAACAGACCTATGGATCAATGGAACAGAATAGAGAGCCCAGAAATACTCTCCTGCTTATGTGGCCAGTTAATCTACAGCAAAGGAGATGAGAATTTACAATGGGGAAAAGACAGTATTTTCAATAAATGACTCTGGAAAAACTGGACAGATATATCCAAAGAATGAAATTGGACCAACTTCTCACACCATACACAAAAATACACCTAAAATGCACTAAGGAACTACATGTAAGGAAACCATAAAAGTCCTCAAAGAAAACATAGGCTGTTAGTCTCTTGGACATTGGCTTCCACATCACATTTATGGGTCTGACTCCTGAGGCAAGGGAAACAAATGGAAACATAAAATATTAGGACCACACCAAAGTAAAAAAGCTTTTTGCACAGCCAAGAAAATCATCACCAAAACAATAAAGGAACTCACTGAATAGAATATATTTGCAAGTGATATATTCAGTGAAGGGTTAGTATCCAAAATAAATAAAGAACTTCTACAACTCACACCAAAACAAAAAACAAAACAAAACACAATTAAAAAATGGGCAGAGGAAAAAAAATGAGCAGAGGACTTGAACGACATTTTTTCCAAAGAAGACATGCTGACAGCCAACAGACACATGAAAAGATGCTCCATATCACTTATCCTCAGGGAACTACCATAGTGAGATCTCACCTCTCATCTGTCAGAAAGGCTAGTATGAAAAACACAAGAAACAAGTGTTGGCGAGGACGTGGAGAAAACAGAAATCCTCATGCACTGCACATGCATGCAAATGGGTGCAGCCACTCTGGAAAACAGTATGGAGTGTCCTCAAAATATTAATAGTGGAGGAAATACCTTGTATGATCTAATACAAGGTGCTGGGTGTTTGCCCAAAGAAAATATAAAGTTTACTTTAAAAAGATATACACACCCCTATGTTTGTTGCAACATTATCTATAATAGCGGAGATATGGAAACCACCCAAGTGTCCATAGATGAATGATCAGATAAACAAGATGTGGTGGGTACACACACACATATGCAAATATCCACATACACCCTACATATATACACATAGAGAGGGTCTCATGCTAAGTGACATAAGTCAGAGAAAGACAAATAACACATGATTTCACTCATATGTGGCATCTAATAAACCAAAAAGATTCTTAAATATATAAAAACAAACTGATGGCCAGAGGGAAGGAGTGGGGAGAGACAGGTGAATCTGGTGGAGGAAAGGGGAAAGGGCGTACCTGTGAAATAGATACAGGGGATTAAGAGGTTGAAGCTTCCAGTTATAAAATAAATACATCACAGAGATGAAAAGTGAGAAACAAACAAAAAGTCACATGTGGGTTCTTGACTGTGCGGGAGGTCAGTGCCCTAACTCCCGACTTGTTCAAGCGTCAATCGTATGTGGTTTCCTCTTTCAAATGTGCAAATGCCACAAACTCATCCAAAATCAGGACAACCTTGAAAAGCGATTAGGTAAAGCATAAGCATCATTGATGCATAAGCTCCCAGCCTGAAAACCCCGATCGCCCCAATCTTGGTGGGCTAAGTCCTCTCTGGGTAGGTGGCTGGGTCAGAGAGGGTGGGAAGGAGGCAGGGCTGCTCAGTGGGGGGTGTCACAGGCCCAGGGAGGCCATGGGCTGCCGGAGGAGGCCGCTTCTGTCCTCCCAGACTGGAAAACATCAGAACCTGATGCTGGCTTCAGAGGAGGAGTCTGAGTCCCAGGGACATGAGGAGAAACTCGCAGGGACCCTGAATGGGGCTGACAGTGCCTCCCTCCTGTTACCTCCAAGCTCCAGACTTGCAGTGGGAACATGGGGCTGCCTCAGTGCCCTGTGCACTTTGGGGGGACAGAGGCAGTGAGACGGGAGGGGACGGTGCTGACTGTACCTGCCCCACAGGCAGCTGGGGGCACAGCTAGGGTGTCCTAGGGGGCCAGGCCCTGTCACCAGAGAGAAAGCTCCCTGAATGCCCAGCGTAGCCTCCCTGCGGGGCTCCCCCACACAGAGGGGGCACGGCCCTGTCTCCCATGGGGATTAAGGACCCAATCCCCAGCCCCAGCCCAGGTGTAGGCTGCAGAGCAGGTGACCAGCTTCCCTGCAGCCATCTCTGCGTGTCTGTCCCTGCAGCCAGGGCTCAACACTGCGGCTCCTGCCACACTGCCCCCGGGGCCCCATCCTCCGGTATCCGCTTCCCATTGACAGTGGCTGCATCCTTCCCGTGGCTTCTGCTCTCACGGAGCCCCAGCTCTAAATCCTCGAGCCATTTCAGCTTTACCCATGGAATATACCAGAACCCTGCCCATCCTCGTACCCCACTCCTGTGCTCCAAATCCAGAGCAGCTCCCTCTGGACACACCTGCTGGCTCCCTGCTCCTGGACCCATGAACACTATGTAATTTATGTCTACACCATGTGTGTAGTTTGCCACCCGTTCCCCTTGACGCCTCCCCGTAGCCAGAATAGCATCTCCACGGGGCAGAGGTATTTGCTGTGCTCACTAATGTAGCCCGAGGACCTACGGTGGTACCTGGAGCTTCCTGCATATTTAGGGATTGACTGGCTAAAGTATTAGTTTGAGTTAATAAGAGAGACTGCCTCTAGTCTCAATTGGCATATTTTTAAAAAGCGTGATTATTAAACGTATTTTTTTCAGAATTTATCATGATATCCATACGCTGTCTTATTAATGTGGGTATTATATCAATCCATTTCTTGATCTTCTGTATCTAGTGTATACCCAGCCATCTCCAAGGGTTACATTCCTAATGAGCTCCATAATTTGACCTTCTTTTTTTTTGGGTGGAATCTTACATGTCTGTTTTTACTAAATGAGGGTCGACATTTATCTCCCCACTTAAAAAAGAAAAAACAACACAGTTTGCTGCACGTTGTTGGAGCTTGGTGTTAAGACCACTGGCTGCCAGTGAGTTTGCAGGTATAGGTAGTGTACTGCACGAGGGGCTAGTCTTTCACTAATGCTGCAAGGGGCTCTGGCCCAATAAATGGAGAGTGATGGTGAGTCTTGCCACAAGTAAAAACAAATGATTTGGTTTCTGGGGTTTATATTCTTCATAAAATGAAGTGAATGATTTGTTTAATTTTTATGTTGTGCAAAATATATACATATAGCATTAGAAGGAGGAGGAAGGGGGAGGAAGAGAAGAAGGAGGAGAAGGAAGAGGAGGAAGAGGAGCAGAAGGGGGTAGGAAAGAAGAAGGGGAGGAAAAAGGAGGAGGAGGAAGAAGAGAAGGAGGAAGAGGAGAGGGTGGAAGAAGAGGAGGAGGAGGAGAGGGTGGAGGAAGAAGAGAGAGAAGGGAGAGAAGGAGGAGGAGGAGGAGGAGGAGGGGGAGGAAGACAAGAAGGGAGAGAAGGGGAGGAGGAGAGGGTGGAAGAAGAGGAAGAGGAGGAGGAAGAAGAGAGGAGGAGGAAGGGGAGGGGAAGGAGGAGGAAGAGGAGAGGAGGGAGGAAGAAGAGGGAGAGAAGGAGGAGGAGGAGGAGGAGGAGGAAGAGGAGAAGAAGGGGGTGGGGAAGAAGAAGGGGGAAGGAACAAGGAGGAGGAGGAAGAGGAGGAGGGGGAGGGGAATGAGGAGGAGGGGAAGGAACAGGGGGAGGAAGAAGAGGAGGGGAGGAGAATAGGGCAAAGAGCAGCGAACCCAGAGACGACAAGTAACAGAGCTGAATGTGAATGTTTCCTAGAATGAGCTGTTCCAGGAATGAGCTCTTCTTTGAAGATGATTTTTGAGAAATGTCAGAAATATGCAGCCGCTGTAAAATCACAGAATGGAGCCTATTGCATTCAGAGAACCGTGCAGGTGCTCACACACCAGAACGCGGGGGACAGGTTTTCCTCGACGGGGGTTCATCTTGCACCTCTGGTGTCCGTGTCAGGACCAGGGGGCATCCCCTGAGGCCAGGGTGTGTTTTTGCTTCTGGGAACTCTCTCTCTCTCTCTCTCTCTCTCTCTCTCTCTCTCTCTCTCTGTCCCTCCCCCACGATATGGCTGACCTCTGACCTGGGTGTTTGGAGCTGCATCTCCTGCTTCAGAGCCAGACAACCTGGGAGTTAATATCACAATTGGCGGTTGCTCTACCTTAGGGGGATTCCATCCAAGGCTTTGCGTTACCAGCAATGGCCAGGGTCATGGTCCCTGCCCCCAGGTCTAGAGCGAGTTGTCCACAGGATGTCCTCAGCCCAGATGCTGACCCTTCCTACCTAGTTAGGAGCTATTCCTGATTTCAAATATGACTGCGGTTCCATGTTCCCGTGGGTTCCAGAAAGGTCAGTAAGGGTACCAAGGGTTAGCAGGTGTTGGTAATCTGTCTGATGAGTGGGTCAATTCTCTAACTAGAGAATAAAAGCTCATATAAACACAAACTTCTAAATTCATCCCGGAAGCTCAAATTCTACATTAGGATCACCCAATCGCAGAGCACGTTCATGGCTCCTTCCCCACGTGCCTAGAGACCTGCTTCTCAGATTTTAGAATAACATGGGCACGGGGGCTGCACTCCCCTGGAAACCGAGTCTGGAGCAAGTGTCTCGCCCGCCGCTCCTGATGCTCACCTGGGTCCCCCAGCTCTGTCCCTTGCTCATCTCTGTGCCCTTCCCTTGCTCCCCATGGCTGTGTCCACCGTGTGTAAGCCCCCCTGAACCCCTCTCTGGGGCTGGGAGCGTCTGCCCGAGCCCTGAACGTAGGCCTCACACCTGCTCCCCCACCCACTGGCGGGCACGGGTGCTCTGTGGTGGGCCCATCTCTCCTGATGCTCCAGTGCTGGATGCTGTGGGGAATCCGGAAGCTCTTTCTACATTTTGGCTTTGATGACATCACACTGGAGCAAACAGAGCAGCTGCGTGCTCGTCCCTGGCATTCTCTGTGGGAGTTGGGATCTCCCTGTGATTCCACCCTCTGCCCCCAGACAGGCCCACCCAGGCCTGATGGCACGATTCTGGCCATGGTTGCCCACCAGTCCGGCCAAGGCAGAGAGCCCCACAGGCTGCAGTACTTTCTGGCCAGGTTCTAGCATCCCGTGGTTCAAAAACTTTTAAAGAGGGGTGCCTGGGTAGTTCAGTGGTTAAGCGTCTGCCTTTGGCTCAGGGTGTGATCCTGGAGTCCCGGGATCAAGTCCCACATCAGGCTTCCCGTAGGGAGCCTGCTTCTCCCTCTGCCTGTGTCTCGTGAATAAATAAATAAAATCTTTAAAAAAAAAATCTGTAATGACTCCCCCTGGGCATAGCATTAAGGATTAATTTACTACAAACTCAGTAGGATGTTCAAAACCACCAGGGTCTCCAGTCTTATCACCATTACCCTGTTCACTTCCTGGTGGGCTGGATGCACCCTTTCTTGATAATTTCCCACTCGGCTCCTAGTCACCTCTCACCTGGGCTGGTACAGGCGGGAGTTCAGCACCTCTGCCAAGAGCCTTGGCCAGGACTCATTGGTTACTGGAGTAGTTAACTTTCTGGAGCTGTTCATTTCCAGAGCGCAATGACCTGTTGTGACTCTCAAGGCTCCTTTTATGTCTGGAGGGTCCCCCATGGATCTGGCTCAGAGCTTTGGAGGATACTTCTGTGTCAATGGCAGGTGCCTCCCCAACTCATCCACAGACGCTGTGAGCCTCCAGGCTCCTCATGCAGAAGGAATTGTTTAAACTATGCTTAGAGTCACTGGCATGCACATTTTTCTCGCCTGCCAGTATTTTTTTTTTTTTGTGTGGGGGAAAAAAAAAACATCCAAAATTTATTCTCCAACAAGACAGCATCAGCAGGTATCGCCTGCCGGTATTAACCCAGGCCTACACTGGGCACGATTTCTTTCCTAAGCAAACTCATCACATCACACAAGAACCAGCCTTTCCTCGGAGATGGGATATTTGACTTGACTTGGCCTCTTCCAGGGTGGCCAGGTGGGAAACGGATTTGGAAGGTGTCCCATGGAGTGACAGCCCTTGGCTTCTTCCCTCAGGGCCTGGCTCGTGATCCTGGAGGGTTGGAGAGGGTCTGGAGGATCAGGGGATGCGGGGCCCTGGTACGCGGCCAGGCAAGACGCCCAGAGGGGTATGGCGCTGGGCAGTCTGCAGAGATGACGCTGGCAGGACAGGCCATGAGGGTCCCTGGTTCCCACAGCAGAGCTGAAGCAGCAGGGACAGGTCAGGCTGAGCCTGAGTGGCGAGTCCCAGACACTGCCGCTATCCCTCAGAGGATGAAGGAGAGAAGGACCCAGCCAAGTGGGCAACCCCCCTCCTCCATGAGTGGAGCAGGTGCCATGTGTCACTTCACAAAACATATTCTAAAATCACCCCTGCTCACATATGCGACCCCAACATTTTATTATGAAAGATTTCAAGTATACCAAAAGCTGAAATGATGTCACGGTGAATGCCTGTTTCCCTACTGCCCTCCTGCCCTCCACCACTCTGCTCAGTCCCTCGCCTGCCCTGCCTGACATCCAGAGTTACTCGCAGACATGAGCTAGTCTGTTTTCAATCAGGGTATTTGATTCATGTTAAAATTTCTAAAATAATTAATGACGGGCATGAGATTTTGTAATTCTCAAGCGGGCCCACATTGAAAGGATTTGAAGAATATGAACTGAAGGCTGTGATGGGCCGTCCTTACGGGAGACCCCCGAAGCTCACACACACGGCCCGAGGACCACGGTCTGGCTGGCCCTCTAGGCTAGAAGGAAGCTCTGTTCGTTCTGTTCACTAGGATGGGCCCTGTAAGACAATGGGTTTCTGTGACTCTGCAGGTTTGGGAAGTTCTAAGTTAGAACCAGTTTGCAATAGAATTTGTCTGATGTCCAGCGCCACGTGTACAATATGAATTTCTGAGGAGGTGATAATTATGCGGTGTTTCCAAATTGTCTACCACCAGTCATTTTGGGATCTTCGGGAGTCATTTTGCAGCACAGGCCTCAGTCTCTGGGGAGTCCTTCCATAATAGGGCTCGCCGTCCTGTCCGCAGGACTTCTTAACATTAGAGCTTAGTTCCAACCCTGGGCAGCAGGGAAAGGGAAGGGAAATTTCAGACCTACAGTTAGAGTTATGTGGGGTGGTTATGTGCCCCGGGGACCGCTCTGGGGCAAGGCTGGGCTCGCCATGTCCCTGAGTATTGCTGACCCCCTGGCCCAGCTGTGACTGCTGGGGGAAGTGTTCCCAGCACTTCCAGACATGCCAATCCTCCCTGGCAAGAGTGCCAGAGCCCTGCACATCTCAGCCCTGCACTTATGCTCCACATTTTATATTATCCATTAAAGTTAGTAATATGTAAGGAGCAGGGTTTTATAGGGACAATGCTTAGTCTCATGTCTGTTGAGAGAAGTCCTACACTTTTGGGATACCTGGGTGGCTCAGCGGTTGAGCATCTGCCTTCTGCTCAGGGTGGAAGCACCCTGGAGTCCCAGGATTAAGTCCCACAATGGGCTCCCCACAGGGAGCTTGCTTCTCCCTCTGCCTGTGCCTCTGCCTCTCTCTCTGTGTCTCTCATAAATAAATAAATTTTTTAAAAAATCCTACACTTGTGAATCCAAAGAGCCATGTTCAAGTTTTTCGGCTCTGTAATCAAGTTTAACTACCCTCATTTTATGTTGTGCATTAAGGTTAATAATAGGTAAGGAGCAAAGGTTGCATAGGGACTTAATAGGGAATTAATACTGACAATGACACACCCCTCCTGAAGTATCGAGTATGCAGTAAGCACTCAATACATGTCTTGGGTGGAAACAGACATGTGATAGTTAGCAAACACTGTACTTGTTATAACTTATTTCAGATTTTTATAATACACACTCAGTAAGTATCTGCTGAGTTGAAATAAACATTAATATCAGAAAAATATTTTTAAGGATATTTTTATTGTATCATGTGCTAATGAAAAGCCCTACAATTAAAGAAGGAAAGAATATGAATTGTAGGAAATGATGTCTTCGGAGAGACCACAGTATTATTTTGACATGAGATGAGCTGACAATTCACTGCATGCTGCTGTGGCATGGGAAGCAGGTGCTCAGCCATCCCGGGTGACAGCGGGAC